ATGTTTTGGAAAGTTATAACGTTAAATGGCTTGCATTTCAGTTTTTTTCACACAGAAATTTGCCAGATTAGCAATGTTGCCTTTCAGGCTGTATAATAGCCAAGGAATGAGTATTACCCCCATGATGGCATATCATTTGCAAAACGAGAGAACCCAGGGTATTGAACATGTGGTATGTCCAGTCTTTTTTAGAAGCCACTGACCAAAACACTGGCCAAAGTTAGCATTCATGCTTTTTTTTGGCTTTTTTTTTTACACAAAAACAAAAATGCAGATATTTGGTCATGTGACATGTAAGCTAATCATAGGAAATACATTATGTCAAGTTATGACATGGAAAAATACAACACAGTCAGTGCTACTGCAGCAGGACCCAATACGGTCTACATTAGAAGTAATGGTAGAGCAATCAGAATAGAAAAGCAGAACCTAATGAAAATAATCTCGCAACCTACTGGGTAACCGTAAATAAAAAAATATAAGATACTAGCGCTTATATAAAACTTAAAATTTATGAGTAATATCTCAGAAATATATGTAACAGTAGCAGCTAGACACCAAAAAGTGCAACTTCTCCACAAACACCAACAGAATATAAAAAAATACAGGAAAAAAAAAAAAAACAGTAGCGCCATAAAATCGAAAATTACCTTAAAGACAATAACCTTGATGCTTTTTAAGGGAGTTTTTACTTTAAGAATCTAGAAATACAAATTGTACCACATAGTGCAGCTTTTAAATAAATAAAATGTTGTAAAAGTAAGGTTTATAAATAAAACACTCACAAACAGGGAGCGATAAGACTAGCTCTGGTGTGGATAGCTTCTGGGTCCATTTAGACGACCCACCCCTATGTGGAATGTATGTTTCGTCCTGGGAAAGAGTATATAAAACACACAATAGGGTAGTACAGCAAGGATCAAGATAATCAAAATAAATGCCAACTCAGTACTTACAAACACAGAGCCCCTGTGGCTCAATAGTAGCGTATTGTGTAGATATAAAGCTACACTCCCCCTTTAAGTAGATGTCTCATAAAAGTCGTGAACCAAATAAAAAACTTGCGTACATTTATTGAAATATAGTAAAACACAAATAAAATAAGGAACAATGTCCATAAAAGTACCGGTACGCGTTTCACCACTTGATGTGACTTCCTCAGTTGGATAAATGTTGTGAAGATCCTTGGTTCCCCAGCTTATGCTTATATACCCTCCTAATGAGGGAATGATCTTTGTCTGTGACTGTTACGTAATTACCATATGAGGTATTACGTATCATGTCTATGGTGATGAAAACATCCCGGCGGACACTCTCACCTGGAGCTCCGTTGGGTTTTAATTGTCCTGAAATATTTTGTTACTTCCCAGAGTTCCAAGCCTCTTTCTCAAGATGTGACGTCAGCTGTGTTTTCGTCTTTCATGATCTTTCGAACAACCTAATAGTCACCGATCGCTCTGTAGTGCTTATATTATATATTACTATAGTTCGTTCAGACATAAACTTTAAGATGTGAGTTCTTAGTCTCTCTAGTAAGATTGATTATTCAATAAATAGACCGACAAGAATCCCTCATCTGTGAATGGACATTAGAGACAGGAAGGGGTATAATAAGCAGGACTTGACAAATCCCAGGCACCAGGTCGCCATGGTGAATCCAATTTTTGCATTTGTCAACATTTTATCTAAATCTTTTTTTTACAGGCTGAACATTGTCCACAGCCATAAAAACCCTTTTCGTTATTAAAAATCGTGGGAAGACTTTTTTTCTTTAATAAAACTGTTTACCAATGAACTTCTAAAATTTCCAACTCCCCTATGTATAAATCTAGGAGTATCGGGTAGAAACGTTTTCAACATTGGGTCTTGTAGTAATATCGGCCAAAATTTCTTTATAAATTTACGGACTTCATGATTTTTTTTTCATACATTTGTCCGAACTAATTAATATGTTTTGTTTTAAAAGAAGAACAAAACAACAGAGAGTTCAATGATACAAACTTTTACTTTTTTTTTATTGAAAAAACATCAATTCTAGTAAATGAAAACACACTGGTGTTTGGTGGTGCTTCACCTTACTAAGGATCTATTCCCACCTATCTACCTGCAGTTTGCATGCTGCTTTAGTGTTTGTGACTAAGTGGCTACTAAAAGGATATACCCCATTTGCAATAACTTGGGTTGTCAATTATTGCAAATGGTATGCCATCATGGGGGTACTATACGGTCTCAAAGGCAACATAACCAATGTGGCGAATTTCAATGTAAAAAAAACTGAAAAATGTAATGTGCCATATTTGACCCTGTAACTTCCCAAAACACCATAAAACCTGTACATAGGGGGTACTGTTTTACACATGAGACATTGCTGAATACAAATATGTGTATTTTATTGCAGTAAAAGCAAACAGTATTTTGACATTCCCAGTTAAAATGTCACGTAGAATTAAGAATTTTTTTTTTTAAATCTTATTTTCTCCCATTTTTAAATATTTTATTCATATTAAATTATGTTTCATACCTAAATATTTGATGTTATCCCCTGAATAAAATGATATACGTTTTGATCACAACGTGTACATTTGGCTCAGTCCTTAAAGGACCACTCTAGGCACCCAGACCACTTCAGCTTAATGAAGTGGTCTGGGTGCCAGGTCCAGCTAGGGTTAACCCATTTTTTTATAAACATAGCAGTTTCATAGAAACTGCTATGTTTATGAACGGGTTAAGCCTTCCCCCTAATCCTCTAGTGGCTGTCTCATTGACAGCCACTAGAGGCGCTTGCGTGCTTCTCACTGTGATTTTCACAGTGAGAGCACGCAAGCGTCCATAGGAAAGCATTGTAAATGCTTTCCTATGCGACGGGCTGAATGCGCGCGCAGCTCTTGCCGCACGTGCGCATTCAGCCCAGGAGGAGGAACGGAGAAGGAGAGCTCTCCGCCCAGCGCTGGAAAAAGGTAAGTTTTTACCCCTTTCCCCCTTCCAGAGCCGGGCGGGAGGGGGACCCTGAGGGTGGGGGCACCCTCAGGGCACTATAGTGCCAGGAAAACGAGTATGTTTTCCTGGCACTATAGTGGTCCTTTAAGGGGTTAAGCTACACCTTTTTTCAAGATTGTCAAGTGTAGGAAAAAATACTTAAAGACAAGGAGTCCTTATTCTGTCTAATGTTTTAAAGAGAAATTGACTAGAAATGAAGAACACATTCCGAAAAAAAGGAAGTGTCAAGGAAACAATAGGAGGAAGGTAAGTTTGAGGTGGCTGAGCCACATTAAAAATGATTCCATGCTGAATGGAAGAACCGTGCCATTACACTCCCACCTGACCCTCAATTCCTCGGCAGATACCCAATGCTAAGGAATTCATAACTAGGGAGAGCAGACAAGACCTAACACATGACATCCCTCTGCTCTTCACCCATAGCAAACACAGCGCATTGTAATTCCTTAGCCTGTGCTATCGGAGTATAGTTATGGACTGAGGCGACATCACTCCGTTCAGACGCCGGCATGCTGGCGTCGGTGTCATGGGTGAAGTTTTTTGAGGTGGGTGTTATACTTCTGTAACACCCACCTCTTTAATGAGACTGCGGTGGAGGATGAATCGGTACTATGTAACTAAGTAATAAGGTAAGTCATGATAGGTTCCCTTTTAAGGAACACTATAGTTACCAGAACAACTACAGCTTAAAGGTTCACTATCGTGTCAGGAAAACAAAGCGGTTTACCTGACACTATAGTGCCCTGAGGGTGCCCCAACTCTCAGGGTCCCCCTCCCGTGGCATTGAAAGGGGTTAAAAACCCCTTCAGCAGCTTACCTTTATCCAGCGCCGGGCTCCCTAGGCGCTGGTGACCTCTCCTCCCCGTCCAACGTCAGCTCCCTAGTGGAGCGGAAAGTGCCGCGCGCGCATTCAAAGAGTCCATAGGAAAGCATTTCTCAACCCCTTTTTAAAACCCCTTCAGTGACTTACCAGACACTCCCCCCCCGATATCCCTCGGTGGTGGTTTCGGGTCCGCCAATGCTCCTCCCCCGCCGGACCATTGGCGCATGCTTTCAATGCTTTCCTATGGGGAATTGAGCGACGCTGGAGGTCCTCACATAGCGTGGGGACGTCCAGTGACGCTCTAGAAACCAGGAAGTGCCCTCTAGTGGCTGTCTAGTAGAGTTAACCCTGCAATGTAATTATTGCGGTTTATGAAAACTGCAATAATTACAGCTGCAGGGTTAAGGGTAGTGGGAGTTGGCACAGAAATCACTCCAATGGGCAGAAGTTGTCTGGGTGCCTGGAGTGTCCCTTTAACCACAAATGTAAACATAGCAATTTCTCTGAAATTGCTATGTTTGCATCTGAAGGGTTAAAACCTGAGTGACCTGGCACCCAGACCACTTCATTAAGCTGAAGGGGTCTGGGTGACTATAGTGTCCCTTTAATGTGTGAATAGCAAAGAGAAGGCAGTGTTTACATTGCAGCCTAGTTACACTTCTAGTGGCAGTCAGATGGCCACTCAAAGTGCTTCCTGGATTAAAAGTGTGTATACAGACAAAAGCAACGTATTACCCAATATCCTCCTCTTTTATTACTTCTTATAGGAATTAAAAATAAAATACGTTTCCCAGATAGTTTATCCATTAATCATATTCACATTATAAAAAAATTTCTTACTGCCAATCAAATCATCTAAAAAAAAAAAAAACCTACATTAAGCCAGAACATGTCACCTAGTGTAAACTTATTAATTTTGGCTCATGTGGCTTGCTGTCCTTACGAGCCGATCAGCTACAGTGTACCTTTAATCAGCAGTAGCTTGTTCTCCGTAGCCTCTCGATTCCGTTCAGCGGGGTGATGTTCGGGCGTTGAGCCCCACTCCTGCTTCTCTTCCTCAGCCAGAGCTCCGTGATTCTCCATAACAAGCTTTCACAGAGGGTAACATCCCCCTGATCACCCTCATCCCCTCCTCTTCCTGGGTTAGAAGTTACTTCCGGTCTCTAATCCTCCCTGTTACCTTGAACTGAGTACAGGCGCTGAAACCTAGCCTGCAAAGTTTATACACGGTTTAAAGGAGACGGGCTCTATTGTAATATTATTAACCTATTAGTCTAAATCTAGATTTTGGGAAATACTCTTTGGCTGCTGTATATAACTGGTTGTATACCTATGCCAAGCAATCCACTTTTCTGGGACACTTCTAATAGAGCTTTGAACATAGACATACTCGGAAATTTTTATTTTTGCTGCACTTTAATGGTTTTATAATAAAACAAAGAGGGGGAGGTAGGATGGCTAGTTACTTGTATTACTTTTTTGTTGTGGTTTTTTTTTTGGAGAAAGATTTATTGTGTATCCCAGAGCCAGACTGAAGAGGCACTCCAATCTATAATACTTAAAAAAATAACTTACAGGACAAGCTAACCAACATAACTTCTACTGACTGATCTAGTGCTTATGTTGCCTAGAGCATCTGGGCACCATTCCTCAGGTTTATGCCTATCCATGTAGGAGTGGTATAACAAAACCTTGCAACTCATGATATCCGGAGACAGCCAGATAAATTAGTATTAGTCATTTAGACATCTGCGTTATTAATGCCATTTTCATTCAGTCTTGTCTGCATTAATAGACTGAGATCACTGAGTTACCCTGCCCAAAAAACTGAGGGAGGGCACCCAGAGAATCTAGGTAACAGAACCAAATTTAAGGCTGTAAGTGATCCCCAATGTTAATGTATTCCTTAGTTAATGCATTAAACAATATGCAAATAAGAACATGCATCTTTCACCACTTTGTAATGGGGTATATTCACCATTTCAGGTCTTCCTATAAGACCTAGACCAGTCTACTGATGTTTTCGTCACTAGAGATGCAGTCCAGAAATAGCCACCCAATGACTGCACTAGGGATTTGATCACCATGCCACACCTGTTTTACCTTTGCTATTCAGCAGCATAGCGTTTTTGCTTGGCTCCCAGTACATGCTGGTATTGTTAGTATGTAGAGGCTGAATCTGTAATAAAAGATAGATGTGATTCTTTATCTTAACCTAAATTACTATGTAAGTGTATGGAACTGTTCAATTGCTGGCAAACCACTGACAGATTTTTAAAAGTGACATTGCCCAGTGTTCTCCCAAATGGGCATTTGTGCAATCATAGCTTAGGGGATGGCTACGGACTTGGTTGGTAAGTGTACGCCAAATGCTTAAAGAGATACTATAGTCATCAAAACAACGTTAGCTTAATGAAGCAGTTTACGTATGTAGATCATGCCTCTGAAGTCTCACTACCAGAGTTGAGCGGACACCTGGATGTTCGAGTTCACCGGGTTCGGCCGAACCTCAAGTTCGGGACTCGAACTTGACCCCAAACCCTATTGAAGTGAATGGGGACCCATTCATAACATAAAATAGATAAAAATTAAAAATAATAATCTTGAACTAGGAGGAGGAGGTGGATGTGGAGTAGTAGGTTGAGGAGGCGGTGACTGTGGCGGTGTAGGTGGAAGCAGCAGTGGAGGAGGAGGAGGTAGCCAACACTGTTTTTTATTTCCTCCTGTGCCACATCCTCTTCCATCATCTCCCGAAGCGTTTTTTCAAGGAGACATAGCGGGATAGTAAGGCTGAGAACGGCGTCATCGGCACTGGCCATGTTGGTGGAGTACTTGAAACAGTGCAACATGGCACACAGGTCTCGCATGGAGGCCCACTCATTGGTGGTGAAGTGGTGCTGTTCTGCAGAGCGACTGACCCGTGTATGCTGCAGCTGAAACTCCACTATCGCCTGCTGCTGCTCGCACAGTCCCTCCAGCATGTGGGCACATCGCATATGAGGCGGTGAGCGGGAAGGCCGAAGTTACGCTGCAGCGCAGACAGGCGAGCAGCAACAGGGTGAGAATGCCGAAAGCCGCACAGACGGCCCGCACTTTCTGCAGCAGCTCTGATATATCTGGGTAGTTTTTCAGGAATTTCTGCACCACCAAAATCAGCACATGCACCAGGCAAGGGATGTGCGTCAAACCGGCTAGGCCCAGAGCTGCTACGAGATTTCGCCCATTATCGCACATCATCGGGCTTGAGGCTCAGTGGCAACAACCACTCGTCGGTCTGTTGTTCCATGCCCGTCCACAGCTCCTGCGCGGTGTGGGGTTTTTCCCACAAACATATGAGTTTTAAAACATCCTGCTGTTGTTTACCCCTGGCTGTGCTGAAGTTGGTGGTGAAGGTGTTACGCTGACCGCATGAGCAGGTGGTAGATGAGGAGGAAGCAGAATAGGAGGAGGAGGCAAAGAGAAATGCCCTGCAATTCTCGGTGGCGGAAGGACATGCGCCAAACTGCTATCCGCCTCAAGCCCAGCCGCAACTACATTTGCCCAGTGTGCAGTTAGGGAGATATAGCGTCCCTGCCCGTGCTTATTGGTCCACGTATGAGTGGTTATGTGGACCTTGCCACAGATGGCGTTGCGCAGTGCACACCTGATTTTGTCCGCCAATTGGTTGTGCAGGGAAGGGATGGCTCGCCTAGAAAAGTAATGGCGGCTGGGAACCACATACTGTGGGACAGCCACCGCCATCAGGTTTTTAAAACTGTCCGTCTCCACCAGACGGAATGACAGCATTTCAAAGGCCAGGAATTTTGAAATCCTGGCATTCAGGGCCAGGGATCGCGGGTGGGTAAAGGGGTACTTCCTCTTTCTCTCCAGTGTTTGGGAGATGGTCAGCTGAACACTTCCATGGGACAGTGTGGAGATGCTTGGGGACAGTGGCGGACGTGGTGGCGTTGCTTCCACATCCTCTGTTTGCGGGGTGACAGGTGCCACTGTCACTCCAGAGGTGGAGGTGAAGACAGCAGCAGGAGAGGAAGCAGGAGGAGCCTGAGACCTTTCTTGGTTTTTGAGGTGCTTACTCCACTGCAGCTCGTGCTTTGCATGTAGATGCCTGGTCATGCAGGTTGTGCTCAGGTTTAGAATGTTTATGCCTCGCTTCAGGCTCTGATTGCACAGCATGCAAACCACTCGTGTCTTGTCGTCAGCACATTGTCTGAAGAACTGCCACGCCAGGGAACTCCTTGGAGCTGGCTTTGGTGTGCTCGTTCCCTGGGTGCGGTGGGCAGTAGCAGGCGTACTGTCTATGGGACGGCCGCTCCGCTTTTGCACCCTGTTCCCTCTTATGCTGTGCTGGTGCCTCTGTGCGACCACCGCCTCTTCCTCCAAACTGCACACGTCACTCGCATGAAGTATGTAGTATTTAACGGTTTTATTGATCTGCAAGAAATGCACCGCAGGCCGCAAATGTACTATTTAGCACAAAAAACTGTGATTTTTTTTAAACCAACAATGTAACAGTAGTATTTAAGAGTATAATTGGACTGCAAGAAAGGCAAATGTACTATTTAGCACCAAAAAAAGTTGAATTTTTCAAAGTGCGATGTAACCACAGTATTACATCTGTTTCTATTTGACTCTCAGATATGAAGTGCACGCCCCAAATTTACTTTTTAGCACCAAAATAAAAATGTGAATTGATGTCACGGCACAGCCTGAGCCCTGCTGACAGCAAGGCGTGGCTGCCCCTTTAAGAGACCTGGCTGGGTTTGAACTCACAGCTCCAGCATCCCAATCAGGTTCTCTGCCATGCTGTCCACCAGGGGGCTTCAGTTTCTCTTTGCATTTTTCTGCTTCCTGACCCCCTTGCTCTGGATTAAAGGACCACTCTAGGCACCCAGACCACTTCAGCTTAATGAAGTGGTCTGGGTGCCAGGTCCAGCTAGGGTTAACCCATTTTTTTATAAACATAGCAGTTTCAGAGAAACTGCTATGTTTACAAATGGGTTAATCCTTCCTCCAAATCCTCTAGTGGCTGTCTCATTGACAGCCGCTAGAGGCGCTTGCGTGATTCTCACTGTGAAAATCACAGTGAGAGCACGCAAGCGTCCATAGGAAAGCATTCAGCCAAATGGGAGGATCGGAGGAGGAAAGCTCCCCGCCCAGCGCTGGAAAAAGGTAAGTTTTTACCCCTTTCCTCTCCCCAGAGCCGGGCGGGAGGGGGACCCTGAGGGTGGGGGCACCCTCAGGGCACTATAGTGCCAGGAAAACAAGTATTACGTTTTCCTGGCACTATAGTGGTCCTTTAAGCAGTGCTGACCCACCTGCAACCCTTTTCCAGTTAGGGTCAGCTGCATCTAATCAGCAGGCTGTAAAAGCCAGCCCTGCCTGAAACCTAGCATCTGGTCATTTTGCCTGTTTGGTGTTTCCTTCTGGATCTCTGCTTCGCTACTGACTGATTTCCTGGACTCTGACCTCTGCCTGCTTTACCGACTTTGTTACTCCGCTGCCAGCCCTGACTTCTGCATCTTGTCTGACCCTGCCTTTGGATTTCCTCTTAATCTGTACTGCGCTTTTGGTTTTTGACTCCTTCCTGTGCCATCTCCTGCAACTGGGCTCCAACTCTTGGTAAACTGTTACACAAGTCCCCTGGTGACTGCTACAATTGGTCAAACTGCGATGTAACCACAGTATTTAGAAAGCAAAAGAAAGGGACTACAGAGTTGGACAACGCCAGCACTAGTATCCCTTTAAGGTTACAGATATATCCAGGGGCATGGACCCAAAATAATAGTTAAGACAAAGTGGAGTGGCCATCCTGTCTGAAAAGGCAAATGGATATCCACTCCACCAAAGGATATCTCTTTAATTAAAAAATTCATATTACATATTTACAGCTATCCCAATAATTCCCTATGTACTTAGGTGTGCCTACTACCTATGCAATCGACTATTACCTGGCTGTACTGCCAAGATTCTTTTGATATTATACCCCTTAAAGAATATGCTTGGATGGAAGCAGAAGGTGTGAATATAAATTGTCATTGCTAATCTGTTCATAATCCAGCCAGTGCAAGAGTAATTTATCTATTGATCGTCTGGTTACTTTATATCCATTGCATGGGTTTATTCTTTGAGTCTAGTTTAGACCTTGTTTCTGTTTGTTACAGATTAGATACAATCTATGACCTATCCTGCTATGTGAGGGTATCCTTTACTTTAGTCTGTATGTCCTATACCCAGGTTTATCTATACACAGCCGGGGTACAAGCATAATTACGTATTCTGTATATACCACTTATTGGAGGAGTATATTCAGGCATTGATTTATTTGTATAATATACTGAGAACGTTCTCTCTTTTATATATTTTGACTCCTGACACTTATCTACATAACTTTACTCCTGATATTTATGTGGCAATTTGTACCAAATCTACCCAGATTTTAAGTGTGCCACTTGGCTTTCACGATTGTTTCACAGTTATTATTATTTTTGTTTATGTATATTCAACTTAATAAAGGTTATACCAGTAATATGAATTTTTAAAATGAAAAGATATACTTTGGTGGAGTGGATATCCATTTGCCTTTTTAGACAGGATGGCCAAAGACTCCCTACTATATGTATACCAAGACCTGACCAGTGCCACCTTGCAATGGCATAGGTCTCTCTGCCACGTTTAAACCAAAGCTGCGGGTGTCAGACATCAGCTACAGAATGGGGGGGCTTCCTAGAACCCTGTTGGTGACCCACCACGACAGTACACATAGAATTGGCTCAGCTGCGGAGGCCGCAACATTCCTGCCTACAATAGGCCTCTCTCTGTCACCAAGCCTCATGTCTGGGATCCTATCAATGTGGAGCACTTCGCACCTAGAAGACATGCTCCCTCGACCAACTGACTACACCTGTTAATTCTAGAACTTTTTGTTCTGTTTTTTTTTTTCTCCATACTTCCTCTCGCACAGATGTCACCAGGCTCTATACTACAGTTACCCTGTGTATATGAGCCCATGGAGAAGCAGACATGGGGGAGCCCCAACACTCTCCTCCCACACTAGTAATGTCACTATACCACCACTGGCAAGCAGTTTCCTATCCGCCCTATACACAAAATGATTTATGCTTGTATTTATTGCAATTTAAAGGCACATTGTTACTATGTTGAGACACACACACACACATTATTTCCATTACTTTTTATTTCCATTGAGCTCTCTCATATACTCCTGCATACATAATAGTGGAGATCCCAAGTTATTGCAAATGGGGTATGTCCAGTCTTTTTTAGTAGCCACTTGGTCACAAACACTGGCCAAAGTTTGTGTTTAATATTTGTTTGTGTGAAAAATGCAGAAAACTAATTTGAACGCCAAATAGTTTGTGACTAAGTGGCTTCTAAAATAGACTGGACATACGCCATTTGCAATACCTTGGGTTGTCTACTATTGCAAATGGTATGCCATCATGGAGGTAATTCTCATTCATGGACTACCATACGGTCTCAAACGCAACGTAACCAATCTGGCGAATTTCAATGTGAAAAAACTGAAACTCAAGCCTTATATTTGACTCTGTAACCTGTACATGAGGGGTACTGTTATACTTGGGAGACTTCGCTGAACACAAATTATTGTTTGAAAACAGTAAAACGTATCACAACAATTATATCGTCTGTGTAAGTGCCGTTTGTGTTTGAAAAATGCAAAAAATGTTTCTCTGATGATATCATCGTTGTAATACACTTTACTGTTTTGAAACACTAATATTTGTGTTCAGCAAAGTTTCCCAGTAAAACAGTACCCCCCATGTACAGGTTTTATGATGTATTGAAAAGTTACAGGGTTAAATATAGTGCTAGCAAATGAAATTCCCTGGACTTACGGCCTGGGTTGTCAGGCAGGTCCGGCAAATTGAATAAAATTACCTAATTATGTAAAATTATTACATAAATATATACGTAGAATTATTATTATTATTTATATATTTTTTTATATATAGTGATACGTATAAACATAGATATATATTTCGTTCTTCGTGTATTTTGATATCTATATATTATCAAAATACAGTTAGAACAACATTACATATTTTATTTTTTAACGTATTTACATATTTTATAACATTTGATCAATATCAGTCTACGTGTGTTTTGATATACATATATATTAATATTAAAATACACTTAGAGTGTATGTATGTATGTTTGTGTGTTTGTTTGTGCTCGGAATTTCTAATACGTAATGGAATGTAGAAGGAGAAGCAAAGTTGGTTGAGGTGTGCCGAAACCAACGTACGAGTAGGCCTGTAATAAAAAGAGGGCCCACAAAGGTGAATTGTAAATATAGGTGGGTGGGGACAAATAGCTTGCACGACAAAGGTAAGTGGGGGTGTAACGGAGCTCCAGTACTCCGACCGAGTACCTCCGCCAAGTCTGCTTCCTTGTAGCTATCAGGAACCCTGAAACACTTCAGACCCAGACGCCGAGGCTTGACTGGGATCACTTAGGGCCTTTTCCACCCTGGACCAAACACCAGACGACACATGGTGAAGGTTAAACAGCAACTCTTTAATGAATACAGCACACATAGTTTAATCCCCCAACAGCCTCATTTACATACAATAGGTTACATAGATTACTATAGTACAAGGAAGGGTGGGGTCAGACAATAGCAAGGGAGATTGAGGAGGGACAGAGCAGCTAGATTAAACTGGTCTGGCAGTGTCCCTGGGACAACGCCCTGCTGGGGAAACAATAGGACAGGAAAAAGGGGGGAGGGGGAGATGCACAGATCAGCAATACATTCAACATACCCTGCACAAATAGGCACAATGTGACAAAACACAAAAGGAATTTGGGAGCCCACCCATGGTGTCTTTCTTCCATCCCCAGTGATGGTGACTACCGTCACAGGGGGGAAAGAGTTTAAATAGGGATCATAACTCCTCCCACAAATTCAGGCCAAATGGCCTTCCAACTCGGAATTTCTAATACATAATGGAATGTAGAAGGAGAAGCAAAGTTGGTTGAGGTGTGCCGAAACCAACGTACGGGTAGGCCTGTAATAAAAAAAGGGCAAAAGAGGATTCGAAAAAAACACACTTTATGCAAGTTTATACAGCATGGATACTGTAAGCTTGAACTGAGCTTTTTCTCTGGTTGAGCTAAGTATGAAACTGAATTGAGGATTACCTGTGACCCTGTCACTTAGTGATGTAGACTGGGGTATAAGAGCTTGAAGCTGCAGATGCCGCGCCAATGCAAAAAAGAGTGACCAGTGAAGGAAGCCATGTTGTAGCTCAACCTTAATGGTAGGGATTTGTCGTGAAAATAATGAGTTTAGTCTGATAGTGAGTGGGTGCTCATGGAGACATAATAGTGGAGTGTCAAGGTAGGAGGTTTAAGAAAAGTGCATGATTAGGACAGGTTGTGAGAACCTGGTAAAGTACTGTGGTAAAGGTAGAGATTTCTGGAATAGTGAAACTTTAAGGTGTAGGTTAGAGGAAGAGGCAAAAATTACCATAGTTTTACTGTAAGTCTTGTTTCAAGTAAAACTCTGCTTGTTAAATAGTTAAAATATACAATGCCCTGACGTGAGTACTAGAGTAGTTGGGTGAGACTGCGTGGAGCGTGAGTACCTGTAATTGGGTGCTTAGTCCAAGATTAGCTTGTGGAATTGTGGTATCCTGGATGGTAAGTGGTGGGCCGTAGTTAGTGCCTGAAAGAAGACCTTAAATTGAGAGTGAGAGAGCGTCAGCGGCTGTGTTGTGGACACCAGGAATGTGAATGCAGTCTAGAAAGAACTGAGAGGTTGCTGCCAGCCAAGTCAGCCTGCGAATCAGCCTCATAATGGTTAGCAAGGATGACCGCCCTTTGTTAATGATGTCGCAGGCTGCGGGGTTATCAGAGTAACATTTAACTGCCTTGCCGGTCCCAAGATGACCCCAGGTGTCGGCGGCCGCCACGATGGGGTAGATCTCGGACAAAGTAGAAGTCTCTCTAAAGGCCGGCCAGGCATCCATCTCTGTGGGCCGGTCATCCCTAAACCAGTGGTTGCCGAAAAATGGCTGCGAACCCTGTATGTGCTGCTGCGTCTGTGTGAATTGAAAGTGAGTGCTCCGAAAGTGGGGGAATGAACAAATAGATCCCATTCCATTCTGCCAGAAATTTACTCCACATGTGTAAATCTGCCCTGGCTGGATTGTCCAGAATGATTGGGCAGGTCGAGCACCCCGTGGAGCAAATTAATGATACGCATTGCAAAGTTGAGGGACCCCAATAAGGACTGAAGTCCCCCCTAGTGCATGCCACACTCCGCAGGAACAGGACAATTTCGTTCCTAATGTGGGACAGTTTGTCTGGTGGTAGACTGGCTTGGAAGGTACTTGTGTCCAATACTATGCCCAGTGGTGTATCCTGGTTTTGTGCTGCCTGTCAGGATTACAGAATGATCCAGCACGTAGAACTGTGTAACACAGAGGACTGATAGGTAGCATATACCGGACCTTAGAATGGCCGGACCAACGTACCAAAGAATAGTCAGGAATAGCCGAGGTCAAGGGAAACAGAAAGAGACACAACGATAAGGAAAAGCCAGGAGTCAGGGATGCCAGAAAACAGGGAAGTCAAAAACAATGCCAAAGTCAAATAACCAGAATCAATAACACACTTTCGGACAACCACAAGGGAAACCACGACAGGGCACTGAGCAGGATGAGAACTGGGCCTAAATACCCCTCCTCTAGGTCTGATAGGCTGTATGTGGCAAAACCGACCTCGCCACGTGTCCTTGGAGGGGGCTGCTTGCCCGCCTCTTGCCTTTGGACTATGGCCCTGCAGGTTAAACTGTTTATTTTCCCTGCAGAAAGGCTTATTCGTGTGATCTGAGTGCCATTCATCTAATAATGTGCAGTCAGATCCAAGCTATCTGGGGATATGTAGAAATGTGTGTTTTATGTACTAAATGTGTCAGTATGTAATTTTATGTCTTTTACTGTCTTTTTGTCTGCCATGTGGGTAATGGAGTTTGGCTCTGTCTTTGGAGATAATTAGATTCCTTCTCCAATTACCCAGTCGGGGTGCCAGGTGATCCGTTACACTGTAACCGGCCTTTGACCCCAAAGGCAGTTACCAGATCTCATTTGCATAATTTCTGCTCAGCATTAACCCTTCTGTGGATTTGGTTGTTGCTCGACACAACTTTTCCTTTGTGGACAGTAAATGTCATTAACCACATTTTTGTAAGTGGATGAATATGTGACATTATCCCCACCTGAAGAACGGGCGGGCAGGACCAGGTTGAGAGGAAATTTGGCGTGAAAATAGCGAATCTTGCTGCCAGCATGGATATCAGATGCCGGAACCCAAGAACGATCGGCTGGTCCATAACCTTTCCAATCCACCAAGTACTGTAAAGTGCCCCGAGAAAACCTGGAATCAATTATGGAGGAGACCTCATACTCTTCCTGTCCAGAAACAACTAAGGGAGGAGGAGGGACACTTGAGACAGTATATTTATTGCAAACAAGAGGTTTGAGCAAGGACACATGAAAGGTATTAGGAATTTTTAAGGAGGCCGGAAGGGCCAGAGAGTACGCAACAGGATTGATCCTACAAGGACACGAAAAGGTCCAAGGAACCTAGGAGCAAATTTCATGCTAGGGACTTTGAGCCTGATGTTACGAGAAGATAACCAAACCTTCTCACCCACTTGGTAAACAGGGTTGGCACCTCGACGTTTATCAGCAAAATGCTTGAAACAGTCAGCAGCAGTACCCAGAGCAGATTGACCTTTAACCCAGGTATCACGGATGGAAGCCAGACGGTCATCCAAAGCAGGAATAGCCGTGTCAGAAAAAACAGCCGGTAGGACAGTAGGATGCCGGCCATTATTAACAAAAAATGGACTATGCCCAGAGGAGTCATGGTCAGCATTGTTCCTAGCAAACTCGGCCTATGGTAATAATTCGGACCGATTGTCTTGAGTGCTATTAACGAAACAACGCAAGTATAACTCCAAAGACTGGTTAGCCCTCTCAGCTGTACCATTAGTCTGGTGGTGGTAAGAGGATGAAAAAGACAATTCAATCCCCAATTGCTTATTGAAAGCCCTCCAAAACTGGGATACAACCTGAGAACCTCTATCAGATACAATATTGTAAGGAATGCCATGCAGACGGACAATCTCACGTATAAAGATCAGTACCAGGTCTTGAGATGACGGTAATTTCTTGAGAGGGATGAAGTGAGCCATTTTAGAAAAATGGTCAACAACCATGAGAATAGTGGTATAACCATTAGAACTAGGAAGTTCTACAATTAAATCCATAGACAAGTGGGACCATGGGACCTCAGGAACGGGAAGAGGATGTAACAAGGGAGTTTATGAGGTACTTTGGAAACCGCACAAACAGAACAAGCCTGCACATACTCCTTAACATCCTTCCTGAGGGAATACCACCAGAATGACCTCATGATAGCAGAAGTGGATTTATTAATACCTGGGTGACCAGCAGACACATTGTCATGAAACACCTTCATGATATTAACCCTTTACCCCAATGGAACGAACAATTTGTCCTGAGGTTTACCACAGGGCGCCTGAGACTGAGCCTCCATGATGGAGCCAAGCAGCGGAGAGGACAATGAAAGGATAGTGGAAGCAATGATACATTCCGGGGGAATGATATGGGACTTTTCTTGCTCTTGTATAGACTCAGTATCAAACTGTCTGGATAAGGCGTCAGCCTTGACATTTTCAGAACCAGGTATATAAGTAATAAGAAAATTAAAGCGAGAACGGAACAGAGACCACCTAGCTTGTCTAGAAGACAATCGTTTAGCATCTCCTATGTAAGCCAGGTTTTTGTGATCAGTAATGATCAAAAGGAGGACCCTCTAAAAGATGGAACCCTCTAAAAGATGTCACCACTCCTTGAGAGCTAGAATAATGGCCAACAATTCCCTATTGCCAATATCATAATTGCGCTCGGCAGGCGACAACTTTCTAGAGAAGTAACCACAAGGATGCAATGGAGTATCCTGGCTCTCCCTCTGGGAGAGAACTGCCCCTGCCCCTGTCTCTGATGCATCAACTTCTAGTATGAAAGGTTTACTGGTGTCAGGATGTATCAATATGTCGGCAGAGGCAAACCGCTGTTTGAGAGTTTCAAAAGCTTCTATAGCCTCCTTAGACCATATGGTACTGCTAACCCCCTCACGTGTCATATTGGTGATGGGGGCTATTACTGAAGAAAATCCCTTTATAAACCTTCTGTAATAATTGGCAAAACCAATGAACCTTTGAATGGCTTTCAACCCAGTGGGTAAAGGCCATTGAAGAACCGATTCCAGCTTTTTAGGATCCATCTGAAACCCGGAGGCAGAGATATTCTATCCCAAAAACTGTACTTCAGATTGGTCAAAGATGCATTTTTCTAATTTACAATAAAGTTGATTCTTTAACAAGGTCTGCAGAACTTGTCTAACGTGATCATGGTGAGTTTGAATGTCTAGAGAATAAATAAGGATATCATCCAGATAGACCAAGACAAACGAGTAAATGTAATCCCTGAGTACATCATTTATGAAATCTTGGAAAACCGCTGGAACATTGCACAACCCGAATGGCATCACTAGATATTCATAGTGTCCATTTCTGGTATTAAATGCAGTCTTCCACTCGTGGTTTTCCTTGATTCTAATTAAATTGTAAGCACTTCTAAGATCAAGCTTAGTAAATACTTTAGCACCTTGGAGTCTATCAAATAATTCAGCAATAAGAGGAATGGGGTAGGCTTTCTTAATGGTGATTTTGTTCAATGCCCTGTAATCGATACATGGGTGCAACTCACCGTCCTTTTTAGATACAAAAAAGAATCCTGCCCCAGCAGGTGAGGATGATTTTCGTATGTGGCCTTTATTCAATTAAGCCTTAATATATTCCTCCATTACTCTACTCTCCTGAGGTGACAGAGCATAGACTGCTCCCTTAGGTGGCATAGCGCCAGGTAGTAAATTAATAGAACAGTCATAAGGTCTGTGAGGAGGTAGAGTATTCGACTGAGTTTTGCTGAATACTTCTTTAATGTCTTGGTACTGTATAGGGATTTCCGGGTTTTGAGGTGTACTAGTGGGTTATCCAATAGTGCCCACTCTTTTGACAAGATTCAATATACACCTTTCATAACAATCCTTAACCCATTCTAATATTTCCCCATTAGCCCAGTCAATATGAGGGTTATGCTTGTTAAGCCATGGAAAGCCTAATATGATCGGACAGGAAGGGGATGCAATAACCTGAAATGTAATTTCTTCCTTATGTAAGGCACCAATGGACACATTACTGGGTAAGGTTTCGTGTGTAATCAATGGTTGTGAGAGTGGTCTCCCATCAATAGCTTCAACAGCTAGGGGTGATAGTCTCTCCTTGATAGGTATAGTATTACCTTTAACAAATTGAACGTCAATTAAGTTTCCAGCGGCACCTGAATCCATCAGGGCTTTGCATGAAAAGTTCTTCTTTTCAAAGGCAATAGTAATATCAAGGAGAAACCTATTTTTATCCATTCCAGAGGACATTTCAATTACACCTAAGACCTGTCCCCTTAAGGTGCTGTAGTTTTCCGGACATATGGGACAATTGTTTCTTATATGTCCTTTTCTACCGCAGTATAGACATAGGCCTTCTTTTCTCCTATATTGTCTTTCTGCTTCCAAAAGTCTAGTGACCCCCAATTCCATGGGTTCAGGTTTGGGCTGTACAGGAAATTCAGGGACAATAGGTTTGGAGAAGTGGAGTGCTAAAGGCATATTCATGTGCCTGGTCTTGTTTCTAGTAGCTTCTCTGGTTCTCAATCTATTATCAATTTGCATGACAAAAGTGATAAATTCATTAAGTTTTTTGGGTAAATCTTTGGCTGCAATCTCATAGTTTCAGATAGTCCCTTTTTAAATGCAGAGATTAACCCACTATTAGTCCAGTCTACCTCGGAAGCTGGGGTACGAAATTCTATGGCATACTCCGAGATAGACCGGTTCCCTTGTCTGATATGCATCAGGGCAGTAGAGGCGTCTTCCTCCCTGCCTAATGGTTCAAATGTAAGTTTAAATTCTGTAATAAACTCCTGGTAATTGTGTGCCACACTCCTATTACTCTCCCATAATGGATTGGCCCAAGCTAAAGCTTTACCTTTTAATTGATTCATCAGGTAACCAATTTTAACTCTGTCTGTGGGAAAAGATCCCGGTGAGGCCTCAAAATGATACTCTATTTGGTTAAGGAATCCCCGGCATGCTTGGAAATTACCATCAAAATGCAGAGGAGGAGATAGAGAGATAGTTGGTACCTTGTATACTATAGGCGGAGGTACACAAGGCAGAGGTGACACAGTAAGAGCAGCCACAGGTTGCAGATGTGCTGTACGAGTAAGAAGCGTACTGAAAGCCTGGGCAAATTGATCCAAGCGGTGATCATTATCCTCCAGTTTCCTTTCGCATGCAGCTATGTGCTTACACAATTCTACAGGATCTATGGCCATGTCGTAATGTCAGGATTACAGAATGATCCAGCACGTAGAACTGTGTAACACAGAGGACTGATAGGTAACGTATACAGGACCTTAGAATGGCAGGACTAACGTACCAAAGAATAGTCAGGAATAGCCGAGGTCAAGGGAAACTGAAAG